ACAGACACATAGACAGACACACACAGACACATAGACATACACACACACAGACACATAGACAGACACATAGACGGACACAGACAGACAGACAGACACATAGACAGACACATAGACAGACACATAGACAGACACATAGACAGACACATAGATAGACACATAGACAGACACTTAGACAGACACATACAGACAGACACATAAACAGACACATAGACAGACACATAGACAGACACATAGACAGACAAACACACACAGACACATAGACAGACACATAGACAGACACATAGACAGACACACACAGACACATAGACATACACACACAGACAGACACATAGACACACACACAGACACATAGACAGACACATAGACAGACACATAGACAGACACACACAGACACATAGACATACACACACAGACAGACACATAGACACACACACAGACACATAGACAGACACATAGACAGACACATAGACAGACACACACAGACACATAGACATACACACACAGACACATAGACAGACACATAGACGGACACAGACAGACAGACAGACACATAGACAGACACATAGACAGACACATAGACAGACATAGACAGATACACAGACAGACACGACAGGACTGTTGCCACATGACTGTCACACGACAGGTCTGTTACCACGTGACTGCCCCAATCTAGTTTTTACCACGTCACTATCACGCCCATATTACTACCACGTGAATTCCACGACAGAAATGTTATCACGTGACTGTCACAGCAAAAGCAGTCGGTGCTTTAACCTACGTGACAACAATGAACGTGTCGAGACCGCCACGCGTGACTGTGTGCAGTTGTAAGCGCCGTAAAACTTGGTCAAAACGAACAATGTTGTCTCTGTGACGTTACTAGTGCTACGTCCAACACATGTGATATCTGACCTTTGTGGACGGGTCAAGAGGTCACATCTGACCTTTGTGGACGGGTCAAGAGGTCAAAGTAAACATTTGCCGAGTAAAGGACAGATCGGGTAGCAGGCCTCCACTTCAGTCGGACCCTGGAAAAGTTTTTAATAAAAAGAGGACACTATTGTGGGTGGTTTGCGGGTGCTCTGCAGTGGCTTGCTCCTTTTATCCTGTCAAACATCTATCGTCCTTATCTCTCCTCCTTTCCTTTCCTATCAAACATCTATCGTCCTTATCTCTCCTCCTTTCCTTTCCTATCAAACATTTATCGTCCTTATCTCTCCTCCTTTCCTTTCAAACATCTATCGTCCTTATCTCTCCTTCTATCCTATCAAACATCTATCGTCCTTATCTCTCCTCCTTCTTTCCTATCAAACATCTATCGTCCTTATCTCTCCTCCTCCTTTCCTATCAAACATTTATCGTCCTTATCTCTCCTCCTTTCCTTTCAAACATCTATCGTCCTTATCTCTCCTTCTATCCTATCAAACATCTATCGTCCTTATCTCTCCTCCTTCTTTCCTATCAAACA